CTCTTTCTACTGTCTGGTGTTCTGTTATTTCGGAAGTTCCTCCATGCCCTTTTGTTCACTTCCTTTGCTTTCATACATGCCCTATTAAACCACGGACTCTTTTTTTGCCTTTTTGTTTTTTTCGTTTGGGCCGGGATAAACCTGTTTACTGCCTCCTGACACTTTAAGGTGACAGTCCATCATGTCTTGTACGGACTTAATTGTGAGTTCTGTGTCCCATGGTATATACCCTAGGAATTTTCTCATCTCATAATTTCCCTTTCAGTACGCCAGCCCTTTGTTTCCCAGTTCTTTTTTGGGGGAGATAATTCCTAGCTCTACCAGGTACTCAAAGATCAATAGACTGATCACTCATTCCCAAGTGGGCTTCCAACTTAACTTCCCTTATATCCCACTCATTTAGGGTAAATATCAGATCAAGCATAGCATCTGTGTGTGTGTGTGTATTCACCTAGTTTCACCTAGTTGTGCTTGCGAGGGTTAAGCTCTGCTCTTTCGGTCCGCCTCTCAACTGTCAATCAATCAACTGTTATCTTGAGGTTATCTTGAGTTGATTTCGGGGCTTTAGTGTCCCCGCGGCCCTGTCCTCGACCAGGCCTCCACCCCCAGGAAGCAGCCCGTAACAGCTATCTAACTCCAGGTACCTATTTACTGCTAGGTAACAGGAGCATCAGGGTGAAAGAAACTCTGCCCATTGTTTCTCGCCGGCGCCGGGAATCGAACCCGGGCCACAGGATTACGTGTCCAACGTGCTATCCACACAGCTACCGGAGCCCCCCTCACACACACCACACCGGTGTGTGTGTGTGTGTGTGTGTGTGTGTGTGTGTGTGTGTACTCACCTAATTGTGCTTGCAGGGGTTGAGCTCTGGCTCTTTGGTCCCGCCTCTCAACCTGTGTTGAGAGCCTCAACCTCCCGCCTGTGTGTGTGTGTGTGTGTGTGTGTGTGTCTGGTATATCTCTCTACTTTCTGGTGTTCTGTTATTTTGGAAGTTCCCCCGCGCCCTTTTGTCTCCTGTTGCTTAGGTACTCCCTTATCCAACGGAGTACCTTCCCTTTCACTCCAGCCTGCATCTCTAGCTTTCTCACTAGCCTCTTGTGTGGCACTGTATCAAAGGCTTTCTGACAATCCAAAAATATGCAGTCTGCCCATCCTTCTCTTTCTTGCCTTATTGTGTGTGTTGCCTTATATTGTGTGTGTGTGTGTGTGTGTGTGTGTGTGTGTGTACTCACCTATATGTACTCACCTATATGTGCTTGCAGGATCGAGCATTGACTCTTGGATCCCGCCTTTCTAGCTATCGGTTGTTTACAGCAATGACTCCTGTCCCATTTCCCTATCATACCTAGTTTTAAAAGTATGAATAGTATTTGCTTCCACAACCTGTTCCCCAAGTGCATTCCATTTTTCTACTACTCTCACGCTAAAAGAAAACTTCCTAACATCTCTGTGACTCATCTGAGTTTCCAGTTTCCACCCATGTCCCCTCGTTCTGTTATTATTACGTGTGAACATTTCATCTATTTCCACTTTGTCAATTCCCCTGAGTATTTTATATGTCCCTATCATATCTCCTCTCTCCCTTCTTTTCTCTAGTGTCGTAAGGTTCAGTTCCTTCAGCCGCTCTTCATATCCCATCCCTCGTAGCTCTGGGACAAGCCTCGTCGCAAACCTCTGAACCTTCTCCAGTTTCTTTATGTGTTTCTTCAGGTGGGGGCTCCATGATGGCGCGGCATACTCTAAGACGGGTCTCACGTAGGCAGTGTAAAGCGCCCTAAAAGCTTCCTCATTTAGGTTTCTGAATGAAGTTCTAATTTTCGCCAGTGTAGAGTACGCTGCTGTCGTTATCCTATTTATATGTGCCTCAGGAGTTAGATTAGGTGTCACATCCACTCCCAGGTCTCTTTCTCGAATCGTTACAGGTAGGCTGTTCCCCTTCATTGTGTACTGTCCCTTTGGTCTCCTGTCACCTGATCCCATTTCCATAACTTTACATTTACTGGTGTTAAACTCCAGTAGCCATTTCCCTGACCATCTCTGCAGCCTGTTTAAGTCCTCTTGGAGGATCCTACAATCCTCGTCTGTCACAACTCTTCTCATTAATTTTGCGTCATCTGCAAACATTGACATGTATGATTCCACTCCTGTAAACATATCATTTACGTAAATTAGAAAGAGGATTGGTCCCAGCACCGATCCTTGAGGTACTCCACTTGTTACTGTTCGCCAGTCCGACTTTTCGCCCCTTACCATTACCCTCTGGCTCCTTCCTGTTAGGTAGTTCTTCACCCATACTAGGGCCTTTCCGCTTACTCCTGCCTGCCTCTCAAGTTTGTATAGCAGTCTCATGTGCGGTACCGTATCAAAGGCCTTTTGGCAGTCAAGAAATATGCAGTCTGCCCAGCCTTCTCTGTCCTGCCTTATCCTTGTTACTTTACTTGTGTGTGTGTGTGTGTGTGTGTGTGTGCTCACCTAGTTGTACTCACCTAGTTGTGTTTGCGGGGGTTGAGCTCTGGCTCTTTGGTCCCGCCTCTCAACCGTCAATCAACAGGTGTACAGATTCATGAGCCTATCGGGCTCTGTCATATCTACACTTGAAACTGTGTATGGAGTCAGCCTCCACCACATCACTTCCTAATGCATTCCATTTGTCAACCACTCTGACACTAAAAAAGTTCTTTCTAATATCTCTGTGGCTCATTTGGGCACTCAGTTTCCACCTGTGTCCCCTTGTGCGTGTTCCCCTTGTGTTAAATAGACTGTCTTTATCTACCCTATCAATCCCCTTCAGAATCTTGAATGTGGTGATCATGTCCCCCCTAACTCTTCTGTCTTCCAGCGAAGTGAGGTTTAATTCCCGTAGTCTCTCCTCGTAGCTCATACCTCTCAGCTCGGGTACTAGTCTGGTGGCAAACCTTTGAACCTTTTCCAGTTTAGTCTTATCCTTGACTAGATATGGACTCCATGCTGGGGCTGCATACTCCAGGATTGGCCTGACATATGTGGTATACAAAGTTCTGAATGATTCTTTACACAAGTTTCTGAATGCCGTTCGTATGTTGGCCAGCCTGGCATATGCCGCTGATGTTATCCGCTTGATATGTGCTGCAGGAGACAGGTCTGGCGTGATATCAACCCCCAAGTCTTTTTCCTTCTCTGACTCCTGAAGAATTTCCTCTCCCAGATGATACCTTGTATCTGGCCTCCTGCTCCCTACACCTATCTTCATTACATTACATTTGGTTGGGTTAAACTCTAACAACCATTTGTTCGACCATTCCTTCAGCTTGTCTAGGTCTTCTTGAAGCCTCAAACAGTCCTCTTCTGTTTTAATCCTTCTCATAATTTTAGCATCGTCCGCAAACATTGAGAGAAATGAATCGATACCCTCCGGGAGATCATTTACATATATCAGAAACAAGATAGGACCGAGTACAGAGCCCTGTGGGACTCCACTAGTGACTTCACGCCAATCGGAGGTCTCACCCCTCACCGTAACTCTCTGCTTCCTATTGCTTAGATACTCCCTTATCCACTGGAGCACCTTACCAGCTACACCTGCCTGTCTCTCCAGCTTATGTACCAGCCTCTTATGCGGTACTGTGTCAAAGGCTTTCCGACAATCCAAGTTTGTGTGTGTGTGTGTGTGTGTGTGTGTGTGTGTGTGTGTGTGTGTGTGTGTGTGTGTGTGTGTGTGTGTGTGTGTGTGTGTACACTCGCGTGTGCACACGTTTCGGACAAAAACATAAAATAGACAAAATTTTGTTACAAAGGTGTGAGGGGAGATAATAACAAATGAATGCAACAAAGGTGCCACTTAAGGGTGACAGGTATAGACCATCACAATATAAAGACAAAGACAGCACTTCCAGGTACCTATTTACTGCTAGGTAACAAGGGCATCAGGGTGAAAGAAACAATTTACCTCTGCCTCCACCGGGGATCGAACCCAGTATCTCAGGACTACGAATCCGAAACGCTGTCCACCCAGCTGTCAGGCGCCATCATCATCATCATCATTATGAGTATTATTAAGAGCCACTAACACTAATGGCCTCGACGAGGACAGGAAGCCGGCGGTTTGTCGAAAGTCCCCCCCCCCCTTTGCCTTGATCATTTCCATCCTTTTTTACGTCCTACGGCCTTTGGAAGTTTTTTAATGCGCCTTACTGTAATTAATATAGTATATATTCTTAATATATGCTAATTCCTCAGAGCTTCAGAAGTAGTCAGGGAAAGTCGAAAATTCCAGTGTGGCAGCAGGATGCTGCTTCTGGAGAGTTTCCTTATTTAAACTACTCAATAGCTCGGTCGATTGAGCCTCGCAAACGTGGGGTCCTCGGTTCGAGTCTCCTAGAGCCAAGCTGAATGTAATAATTCAGAAGGTAGTGTTTATGGTTATATATTCATTAAGTATACGGTGAGGATTTTGACATTTCTGCTAGTGTTGATGACTAGTGCATCTGGGAGCCGCTCAGAATAATTAAGTGCCAGGAGACTTGCCAACCTGTGTCAGAGAGGTGCAGGAAGGCAAGGCACATGTTTAGGAATTCGTGGCAGGCGCCGGCTGACCGGGGTGCTGTACCCTTGGTATTTACGGTAATCTACTCACGAAAAACTTGTTTGTTATACTGGAGCTGACTGGATATACTACTGAAGTATAAATTATATTTCTGATAGACTATACCTTTCAGCGAAAATAAATTACCACGAGTTTAAGCAGCTCGTGGTAATTTCATAGAAAGCACAGCAAGTAATTTTCTGGTGAAGCATATTATTTATTTATCAAAATACATACCAATACCGTCTGGGAAACCAAACGGCAAGGTTGTCTTGACGACAATTGACGTCATGGCAGTGGTACGCTCACTGGTTCGACACTAACAAACCACCGAGCTCCAATTGTTGAACGAAACGCGCCATATGAATAACCCATAATAGAAACTGCGTTGTCATAACCGCCATAGTATATTTTTGTTTATTCCCTCACTAGAGACGATGAAGATATAGTGTAGGTGGGGGTAATGTAGAGGTTGAGGAAGACGGTATAGAGGGGTTCGAGCGGCCGAGGGAGTGAACCCCGGGCGGCCGAGCCCCACTCTGCTCTCGGCCGCTCACACGGGAACATCGTCACTTCTCAACACTTCTCACAATGGTAATTTTGAAGGCTCTTATTTCACTGTGGATGTGAGAGGTGTTGCCTCAGGCATGGCTGGGCGCCTCTGGTGCATGCTGGAGGCTGACGCAAGGGTTGTCATTCATAGATGTTGTGTGGTTACTGGGCAAATGTTAAGGATTGTTAGAGCCGGCTGGTAGACAAGTCTTGGGGTGGCAGGCAACCAATGGTCCATTAAATTGTGTATATTTTGTTCTGGCGGTACCGTCGGTAGTTTGTTGTGTCGAGTTAAACGGTAGTTATGAACCTATTGATCTTGAAATTGTAAGGGTTGAAGTTTAATTGACAGCTTCAAAATTCCCTGTCACAAATTGATTGGCAAATTTGGCCGTCTGGCCTCAAATCAATCGCTTGTAGGAGATGTCTTGGTACTGTACTTGGTTATTGTAGCCTAATTGTGTACAGCATTGTAGCCGTGGCAACCTTTTTACATTAGCTGCATTCCACTTCCAAATAGTAATTAAATACTCCAGTTAAAGTTGGTTGAAATCTTCAATATTTTCGAGGAGTTAACCTTGTTGGCAGCGCTCTGAGCACTGTTGGTGTGGCTCATATTGTGTAGCGCATTCCTTGAAGAATCTGAAATAATGAATCTTGCTTCAGAGTGAGTTGGCCATTCACATAACTGTAGGCTTGGCATACATCTGAAGCCAAGTGAATACATCTGATATAGTCTTTACACAACTTCTTTGCATAACTCCTCTTAATGCATTTTAGTGAGCCCAATAGGCTCGGGAACCTGTACACCAGTAGATTGACAGTTGAGAGGTGGGCCCAAAGAGCTGAAGCTCAAGCCCCGCAAGCACAACTAGGTGAGTAGTGGACAGCTAGGAAGATGCTAGGATTGTTAAAGTCCCCCAATAGTCAAGGGTGAGGCTGTTGGCACAGTCACCCATCTAGTTACTGGCCACACCCAGCCATACTTAAACCTTTACCTACATAGTTAAATGTCTGGAGTGTGAATAATTTTCAGAAGTGTGCTTTAAATATTCAAAGAAAGAAGCTGGATTATGAGTAATAATATTGGCCCAAATTTAATGTGGTCTATTACTATAAATTCTAGCCAGGGTATCAAAACAGCCAGGATACCATAGTGCACAGTGGCCGACCTCGTTACCTCAAAACCAAGAGGCCTGGCCTCAATACCCATGGTAGGACACACAGTTGGGCACATTGCCTTTCACCTCACATCTGTCTATTCACCTAGTAGTAAATAGGTACCCAGGAGTTGAGCAATTATTGTAGGGTTATATCCTGGGGGAACATGTTACTGTATGACCTTGACTGTATGTATTACCTTGAGAAGCCCAAGTACGTGAGGAAGCAATTCTCGCTACATTAGTGGTTCGTAATTGATTAGGACTTTGTGGGCCAAATTTGTGTGTTGGCCTAACATGGTCATGTTGTACAGCAAGGTGAGAGTGATGCTGAGTAAGATCAAGAGGAAAGGTTTGCTCTACAATATAGCCATTCTTGGCTAGTGCTTCTTATATTTTATATTGTCATTTGTGGTTTAAAATAAATTTAATTCAGAAATGAACAAAATCTTTTGCATGGAATAGATTAAGTTCATGTTAAAAAGGTGGGTTGCACTCGTCTTCAACCACATTGTATTGGATACATTGCGGAAGGTATTCCGTCCCTTCATCTAAAAATTATACATTTGTTTACTAATTTCTCGATCTTTTGCCATTTACTCAAGCATGGCTATTGTCTCAAGATGCACTTAAATTTTCAAGGATGATATAACTGCATTGAAATTATAAAGCAGATGTTATGAATTGGATGACAGTCGTTGACTGTCCCAGCTGAGAGTACTACAGTGAATATTGTTTCTAAAGATTTTAAACCTAACTAAATGTGAAAATAAATTGGAACGCTGAGGTGACTCAAATCAGTACAGCTGGGCACCTTACTCCTGTACCCCTGATTTTCTCATACATCACATTACTGTGATTTATTTGTGTAATCAAATTCATTGTAATCAAACTTGATACAGATTAAGAATGTGAAGCACTGTTCATGTACTAAATCATTCTAATTAATTTATGATTAAAGAGACTACTCACTGTATACATATAAAGTGTGGCAGGAATGAGATGGAAATGATGAAATAAATTGAAATTACAGATTGAAACACACATTAATAGATACATTGCAAAAGACAAACATGACAAGTTAATTTAGGAGCAGGAAATCAATGATAATAAAATTTGAAAGAATGTACATATAGTATACTAAATATGACATTATTGGAATTTGCACAGGCTTTGTATTTTATTCCTCAAAATGCACAGTTTCCAGGTCCCTTTCCAGGTGATTATAAAAAAAATTAAACATTATTGTAAAACCAGTCCATCCTCCTAAAATGAAAGTACTGCACTTATAGTAACTACCGGTATTTGGTTAAAAATGCTTATAAGTAGCGATGGACCACCAAAAAGTTTACTTTTGTATTATTGAATTTGCCCAAATGGGGACACTTAGGCAACATAAATATTGAACCAAACCTCTCATAACAATCCTAAACCTAATCTATATTAAGTCTAATATAGTACATGTGTGTTATACTAGACCTAGGAATGTTTAAGTTTGGTTTTAGCTATATTTTTTCCAGACTAAAATTAAAAGTACAACATTATTTTTTTTTTGGTGGTCCATCACCGACCAAATATTTACTATAAGTATCTGTACTGTCATTTCAGGAGGATGAGCTGTGTAAAACATTTATGGTTATTCCATTAACAGGCTGAACCTGTCCGTGTGTGTGTTACTGGGGCTGCTGGCCAGATTGGCTACTCCTTGGTGTACATGGTTGGATCTGGAGCAGTGTTTGGGCCAGACACCCCAGTGATCCTGCATCTTCTTGACATTGCCCCGATGATGAATGTGCTTAATGGAGTCTGCATGGAGATAAGCGACTGTGCTCTTCCCTGTGTTAGAGGTAAGTTTTTGCAGTCTGACACTGCTTGTTTAATTCTTAAAATTGTGTGACTAACTGAATGTTCTCTCTTATTTAACAATTTAATTCAACCTACGTTCCAAAAATGATAGTGTATAGCAACTATTGGGTCAATGTATAAAAATGGACTTGTACCAGAGAACAAGTTCATGGTTTGAACTATTGGAATATTGAACTCAAAATTGCAAGCTAAAACTTGGGACAGTACTTACACAACCTAGCCTAGTCAGTCCTAGGTTTAAACTAGGAATTGTAGGATTGATATATGCAATATTAGTTCTAATTTAGCACTTATGCTATACTAGACCTAGGATTCTTTTTTTAGGTTTGGCTGTTCCCTTCTTTTTCATGCCCTCTATAAAAATGTTTCCATCTGCAATGACGCTGTTCCAGTGTGGAAGTAACTGCAGGATGGGAACAGATTTCCCGTAGTGCTTCTCCAGCTACCAAGTTTGCTCCGTTATCTGAAATCATCAGCTTAGGGCATGATCGGCGTGCTGCGAATCTGCGGAAAGCTTGAATAAATGATTGAGCAGTCATATCGGGTGTTACCTCTAGATGTACTGCCCTGGTGGTAGCACAGGTGAACAGACAGATGTATGCCTTGATAGGTTGCTTATCTGCAGTCCCTGTTAGATATATTGCTCCTGTATAATCTACTCCTGTCGTTTCGAAAGGTTGTAGATGGACCACTCGTTCCTTTGGTAGGGGTGGTGGCCCTGGATAAGAGCAAGTTCTTGCATCGTACCTTCGGCATATCATGCAATTCTTCAAGATTGATTTGACTGACTGTCTTCCTGAGGAATCCAGTACTGCTGTCTGATTTGTGTGAGTGTGTCTAACACTCCTCCATGTTTGATGATTTGTTGATGTGTATGCAACACAATCAACCTTGTGATCCAATGATTTTTGGTAAAAGCCATGGATGCACGGCATCTAGATTGATATCTGCGTGTTTAAGTCTCCCTCCACAACGCAGAATGTTGTGATTTTCTTGGTCTATCCACAGACCGAGATTGTGTTTTAACTTATGTGGAAGATTTTCATAGTTATTCCATAAGTTTCTCTCGGCTTGTCTTACCCAATAGATAAGTGCATCAGGAAAAGTGTATTTTATACCTTTTTCCTGAGATAATGAAACACGTTCTGTGTTACATATTAATTTGATGAGCGAGGAGTAACGAGTACAATCCAAGACTGATATTTGAGCTTGCTGCCTGGTGGTAGTTATGGTTTGTGTCGTAATGACGTGTGGCTTTTGTTCAGGCCAACTACCATTCACTAACCATCGAGGCCCATGAAACCAAATATCTGCCTTTGCAAACTGTTTAAATGTCATACCTCTTGATAAGAGATCAGCATTATCCTTTGTTGGTACATGCAACAATTGAAAGCCTGCGGAAATTTCTTTAATTTCCGAGACGCGATTTTTTACATATGGAGTTGGACAGTTGTCGTTTCGTACCCATTGTAAGACAGCTTCATTGTCAGACCATATAATGACATCTTTGATGTTCAGTAGACAAGACTTGGATATGCACTAAGCGTGTAGTTACAATGGAGCGACTGGCCTTAGAGGTGATAAGATATGATTGATTAGAAGTCACTAAGTAAGCACAAGCTCCAAAAGCTTTGGCTGCGAGTCTGCGAATACATGTAGTGATACTTCTTCATTTTCCTCGACTATGTGTCTCGGAAAGATTATCTTTCAACTAAAGTTTGTTCTTGAGCCACTGCTTTTTGTAACTGGATTGGTAGTGGATCATCCCAAACAACCTTAGCCTTCATGCTTGTTGCACCAATAAACGCCACTTGATAGTCAAAGGATTTAGTAGACCCAGTGGGTCGAATACTTTGCTAACTTGTGAAAGCAAATCCCTTTTTGTAGTGATGTTGTAATTTACTGGCACAGATTTGATCGATATTGTGTCCGAGATTAAATCAATCTACCTTTTTGTGATTCTGGTACGTGATATTCAGGGTAATCATTTGATTATTCAATGTTGCATTATTAGAGGCCCAAGATTGTAGTGGCATGTTGGCACCTTGTAGCTCCTTGTTGGCCTCTTGATATAATTGTAACAGTTCAGTAGTACTGTTAACTGTCCTTGAAAATTATCTACATATAGATTTTGACTGATTTCAGTCTTACAGGGACTTGATGTAAAGTCACTACAGGACTATTGACATCTTCTGGGTTCTCTACCCATAGAAACTTAGTGAAGTCTCTATCTTCTTCCTGTAAGCCAACTCTTAGAAAGGCCTTACTTATATCTGCTGAATACGCATATTTGTTAAGTCTAAACTTCAACAGTATGTCATACAATTTCTGAGTTAGACTTGGACCTGTTTGCAAACAATCATTTCCTTCTTTTTCATGCCCTCTATAAAAATGAGTGCAAAAATACCAGTCTCCATGGTGAAGTGGTAAGACACTTGCCTGGTGTTCCGCGAGCACTTTGTCATAGGTTCGTATCCTGGCCAGGGAGGATTTACTGGGCACAAATTCTTAACTATAGCCCCTGTTTAACTCGACAGTAAAATGGGTACAGTACTTGGTTGTAACAACGATTCTTCGCGGCGGGGATCGTATTCCAGGGACCTGCCCGAAACGCTATGCATACTAGTGGCTGTACAAGAATGTAACAACTCTTGTTGTTAGTCAAAAAAAAACAATCTAAAAAAAAAAAGAAAAAAAAAACTATCCAACAGTCCAATTTTGTATTTTCGAACAATAGTTCATACAAGTACAGTACTGTACTGTTATTTTTTGGATGACAAGTTTATTCATAATTTGGACAGTATGAATTAGATGCACTTGCAAATATCAATGAAATTATCCAGCCCCAAACATGTAACTTGCAGGTTCCTCTTATTTCTCTTCTTCCTCCCATCATATGACTACTGTCATCCTTATCTTTATAGAATCTATTGTAGCAGTTTTATGCGTATCATGAGGGATGAAGTTCTTTGCTGAATGTGTTTTTCTACCCAATTTTTGTATCCGTTCAACGATGGTGAATGGATAATAGCGCTCTATTATTAAGCCGTGTACCCTCTGGTGAAATGTCTAAATAGTTTAAAAATTGTTGTGGGGTAGGGTATTTGTGATATCAGTGTAAGTGCTCAAAAAGTGTACACATTTCCTGATAGCAGATCACAGTTGTTTTCTTATTAACAATACAGTACAGTACATACTTGCACAATATATATACAGTATATGCAATTATTTTGCAAAAATATTAAATATTTTGATTAGACAGCATATGCAAGAATGCCTTGACAAACTTATGGAAGTGGGCAGTTATGTAGCAACTGTATTAGTTTAATCTCAGTAAATGTAAGGTAATGTAAATGTAAGGTATAAATGTAAGGTAATGAATAAGAACAGAGTGGAAGGGATTCGGGAAGCAAAGTATACCATACGAGGAAGATCATTACATGAATTTATAGATTTGGTTGTATAAATATCTGCAGTGACATCACTGTAGTAAGATAACAGCAGTGGCATATGGGAAACTAGCAAAAAATATTTAAACACTTAAAAGTGCTTTTAAGTAAATTATGTCAATATACCTATTGCCTTGTTGGGTGATGCCAATTCTCAGATAGCAATGCTGTAATATACTTTATTGAACTTCAGATGTACAGTACTATTATTTCAATGTAATATTAATTCTAATATTCTGTAGTATTGTAATTGTATTTTAATGTAGTAGGGTGAGCAATATTTGAGGGATAAGTGAATGTTGTTAAGCCCTAAAGAGTAGCCATGATCAAAGGTTCCACTTGACCTCTTGGGTCAATGTATAATAATCACACCTAATGGTTAAAGTACTGTTTACGCTAGGCAGGGTGAAGTAATAGTCAGCATTGTTCAGATGCACCATAGCCAGTACTGTATCTGGAAATGTGAGGTGAGGGGGACATCTGTATGAAGAGGAAGCAAGTGGCTTGTACTATATTAAGATAAGGCATTCTATTTTAATATTTTATTCCCTTTAGCACAATAAATGTAATGCTTGCCTAAGTGCATTTCAAATTGTGACCAAATAAAATGTCTAAATTTTACTGTGTGCAGAGGTGTGGTGATGTAGTAGCATTTACAGATACAGTATATGACTGAACATCAACTTGGGAGACCTTTTAATCAAATGTCAAGTAAGGCTCCACAAACATTGCACATATTACATTGAGGGTCCCAGTACTGTAGTACAGTCGGGTTCGTTCTCTGCGCACAGTCGAGAATTCCAGGTTCAAATTCTGGGCAGGATAAATGGTTGGGCACATTTCCTTTCACCTAGTGCCTCTGTTCACCCAGCAGTGATTAGATAGTACAAGCTTGTAGGGGGGGTAGCATCCTGGGTGGGGTCAGTAATTCGGCCTGGGGGGGGGGTGCTCGATAAAAGGCAAACACACATGAATGCACTCTGGGTTCCTGTTCCCCCGACAGTGAATTATTAATTATATAGAACAGACAAGTGGTGGTGTGATGGTAAAATTTGTGAGGGCAGAGCTGAAAATGCAGCACTGAACAGGATGCCCACACACACATTATTGGGTAGAAGTAGCTGAGGGCAGCAGAAAGCTAGTAGTATGTAGGCCCCCCCATACCTTAATTAAGCCAGTCTGATTCATTTTGTCGAAGATTCTAAAAACCTCAAAACAGTTGTGTGCATTGGTGGATCTAAGCTATAAAGACTGAACCTCAGGAACAAGAAATCCAGTAGCAGAGGAGTTTCCAGAGGTGGTAGAATGTTTACTAGAAGTCCACCAGTTAGAACTATATATTGGACCAGGTGCTGCCAAACAAAGAAATGCTGATCAATATAGAAATGGGGTGATTTGGCAAATTCTAATTAGATTTGCAATTAAGATTCTGATTTTGTATAGCCGACTGATTTTATGAGCAGTGTTCCGTTTTACATCTGGATTTACTATATGAGCACTGCCATCCTCCATAATGTGTAGTGCTACTTTTA